GAGCGGTTCCCCCAAATACTCGGTGGTGGTACTTAGCAAAGTGCATTTTTACAGGGGATCTCCAATGTTTTTATCAAGCTAGGTCAGAAGACACAGAAGCACAGAGCAGTTAATTGATTTCCTCCTCAGCAGCGGAGGGCTGAGCCAGCTTCCTTGTTTCCCAGCCTTCATCCCAAAGCAGCAGACTGTTGCTCACACTGTTTTAATATTTCTTTGGGTGACTGAGAGCAAAGCATGACATTTCTTTTCTTCCTTTCATATTGAAGGGCACAAATTCTCATTCTCTGGAAATATTTGTCATTTTGAGCACGCCTATACAAATTCTTTCCTTGGTTCCTACAAGTTGTGTCCTGTGAGCTCGTTTTAGAGACACGGGGCAGGGAGAGATCGCAGTCAGACCAGTAGGAGGCTGGGTTTCTTCTGGTTTTAACGATGAGATGTTTAGGTAGTGTCCATTTCAAAAAAAAAAACTGTTCAGTAGTTCAGCAATTGGGAAATTTCTTTGCCAGGGTACTTTTGCCATAGGAAAGCCTTTCCTCCTAACATCTTCCATGAGACTGGGAGTTGCAGCTCCCAGGGTAGCCGTAGCTGTCAGTCTGCTATCGGTTTAGAGGAAAGCATTTTCTTTTCTTCCTCCTCCTCTCCCCCTCCCCATGCAGTAAAATTATTTAATTACACACAAACTGGGAGGTAAATATACTGCCCGGGGTCTTGTCTTTGAGCCTAGGGGTAGCTCTGATGATTTCAGCAGTCACCACTGAGAGGTGGCTGAGCCCTGACTGTACAACAGGCATGTGCACCAAGTGAGACCCCGCTCACTAACTGCAGCCTCCTAAAAGTTGGGCACCCGCTGTTGGCAGGTCACCCCGCTGCTGCCAGGGCTGGGGGTGACAGAGGCTCCAGAAGGCAATTTTCATCTGCACCTGCCTTCACGCAAGAAGGACATTTCTCCTCATCTTGCCGATGGAGCCACAATGCCTGAAGTTTAGGCTGGCGTTAATCGGGTCGAGTAGAGCTGATGGAGCTGGGTATTTCGTGGGCTTGAGCATTAGTTATTAAATTTTCATCTTGCCATGAGCTGGGTTGGGTGTGAAGTGTTTGTCTCAAGGAGGAACTGAGGTAAAGTGGTTCCCCCAGAAGCATCGAGTTGTGGCAGAACAACCATTAGGTCCTGGGACTAGCTGGCTCATGAGACCTCTCCATCTCTGCTCCAGACGGGAGAGACGCTCATACCCTGCTTAAATGTGCTGTGTCCCAGTCAGGAGGATGCTCTAGCAAACATGGCTAGTGTTGACTCCCAGATCAAAGGAGTGAGTTCCCTGCATGACAGCCATCAAAGGTGCACGTAGGAGTGCCCTAGGCCAGAGATTTATGTAAGAATTTAAGCCAGGGCTTGGTTGAAAAAAATGTCATAGAAGTTCCTCAGCCAAATTCACAGAAATCAGATGACTGTAAAGATGCAGGAGAAAGTTCCATAAAGTTACTGCATATCCTGCCCCCACTCCGAGTTGGGATTTTACCCTTGGGCAGAGGTAACAGTTGCTGTAGCAGTGGGAACAGGGGGGACATCTGCTTGCTGGTGGGAAGAGTAATTCTTGCAAAAAGCAAAGAAAAGGGGGGAAGAGGGGAGGGAGAAAAACCCCACATTTCTACATTTTTACAGTAAAGGGGCATTTGTGGTTCTCATTTTTTTATGTTATTGTTGCCAATAATTGTTACGTGGTTGTTAAAGTTTTTGAGTCATTTTAGTTTTTCCAAAAGTGACCATGATTTGTTACTTATACTGTAGCTTACAGAAGTGACACACTTAATATCGGGGGGTCCAAACCTGGATATCTACCAATGGAGATGGAGATCAGGTAAATGCACACCTGCTCTTCCAAAGAGAAAAAGCTGCCCTTTGGCAACTGGTTTGAGAGGGAGCTGCAGGCTATGACGTGAGCATTTTGGAAGAGATTAGACTGAGCGCTGCCATTAACCACCAAGTTCTGTGTAGGCCCAGCATGGCTTTGTGTGACAACGGTGTTCAGACAACACGCCATCTGCCAGGAGACTCCGGGTCTCTGGAAAGGGCTGGGGGTTCTGGCCCCAGCAGTAGCTGAGCACAGGCCCACCAAAGGAGACCTGGGGAGCTGCGTCCCCCCGCAGACCGGCCCCGTAGCGAGTAGGATGTGCCGTCTTACTCTCCCAGCTGGAGGGAAGGTGGTGGTGGCTGCAGCAGAGAGCGTGATGGAGAAGGCAGGTGAGAGGGAGGTGTCTGCAGGTAGAAAAGAATGATTACGCGGCACCACTGCCATGCCTGTCATCTCCTCTTCTCTTTTACAGACACTTAACAAGAACAATTTGATACCGGATGACAGGACCAACTTCTACCCGTTGCAGCAAACCAACGTGTACACGACAACCTATTATCCAAGTACACTGAATAAATATGACTACAGGCCCGAGGCCTCCCCTGGAAGGACCTTTACCAACAGCTGATGATGGACAGATCTTACAGGACTGGATCACTTCCTATACGAATTTTTTTTTAAACTGATTTTATGGACCAAATACTGGCCCAGACTCTAGATGTAAATATTGTACAGTAGGATCTTTTTTTTTTTTCCTTTGGTTAATTGTATTTCTTGTAAACAGCACATCTCCTTACAAGGACAAAAATGCATTTGGAGCGTTCTGCAGAGCTTTTGTGGATCTTTGGCTGGAGATGGCTCTTACTACTGCAACTGTTTATGGCTGGAAGATCAGCGTTGCTGTCCAAGGCCAACGTTGTCGAGGAGCTGGCTGCATGCTGGGCTCAGTGGCCACCACGCAGCAGCACATGACACGTGGGTGCACCCTAAGCGAGCCAAGAGGTGGCCTCCTGGGACAGGGGTGTCTGTCTGGTGAGGAGCATCCTTCCTGAGACAGGGTAGCAATGGTGAGCTGGATGACACGCAGCTCACGAGACAGGCTGAGTGGGACTCCATCATGCCAACAACTTGAAGAACGTTTTCTTTTTCTTTGCCTTTTTAAATTTTTTAATTTTTTTATGTTTCTGCAAAAAAAAAAAAAATAAGAAAAAAGTGTGACTTTCTAGGGCAGTGTTCCCTGTATCTTCAAAAGAATCTTTTCATATTACAGAAAATACTCTCTGCAGCCTTCTTTGGAAATATACAGTTCAGCTGATGAGAAACAACACACAGACAAAGTGCATTGCCCAAAGAAGCTTTCCAGAATGTTTCCAGTCTTAATTACAAGAAAATTATACAGGCAGTGAGACACTGAGAAAAGTAAATGTTGGAATAACATCGGAGACATGAACTTGGAGTGCCTAACAAACAAAGATGTTTATATCACTGGAAAAAAAAGATGTGATGATTGCTGCTCAAGAGCCACGGGCTTCTTTTCTTTCTTCCTTTTTCTTTTTTTTTTCTGAGACAGTGTTAACTCTTTTTGTTCTAGCTTTGATCCTGATTGTGTCTGCCAGGAAAGGCAACTTTAGAGGCCATGCTCTTCTTGTGGGAAATCATCATGCTTTGGGCTAATTTTTCCTTTTGTTTTATTGTTTAGTTCATTTACTTTCAGAGAGTGAATAATTCTGACTTTGCAGGGGGAGGGTATTTTTGTAAGGAATGTTTCCATAGTCTGACATGACCCAGAAAGTCTGCTGCACATTCTTATAGTGTCTTCCAGTCAGTGCTCTATGAAATAATAACACAGCTGAGTAATCTGCGTTGTTTGCCAATATTTCTTTAATTTTTCTGAACAACAACCCAACAAACAAATGCTGCTGCAGCTATTGAAGTAAATTGGGGCGGTAGCATTATTAAACAGTATATCCAGCCTTGAAATGTAATTTTGTGTATGTGTGTGACTGTGTCTATAAGAACTGTATTAGTTTGATGCAGAAGCCATGTTGTCTACAACCAGATGTTTGTCTGACATAATTGTTTGGCAAAAAGGAAACTTATTGCTGGTGCTTAATGTACAATTACATCCAATGTGTTAGCAACGTGAACAAGTTCGCCACTGTTATCATTCAGTGTTTCTAAATATTTATAATGAACTCCTGATGCTAAGGATTTTAGAATGTCGCAGTACCAAGCATGAGATAAAATTACACCCTGAAACACGCATGAGCTCCACGTGGTCCCGAGCTTGGCTTTGTCGTCTGCATCGTACTCGAGCAATTGCCATGCCCGTGCTTGGCCGTTGACTCGGCCGTGTTCCCAGCAGTCCCGTTTGTCTTCGCTTGATTTCAGCTTTCCCTGTAAGCCGACGCAGTGCTGTTCCTTTGCAGTTGCTTGTTTGGAAGCCCAGCCTGGGCCGTGTACTCAGCTCTTTCACGTAGGCAGCCGGTAGGAAATGAGGAAAGACTGTGTTGCTCACGACAAGTATATTGCTATTCCTGCAAGGAATTCCGACATGGCTCTGTGTTACGGTGGTTTGGCCAGAGGGCAAGAATAAGGTAGCCTCCCATTTTTAAATTACTTTGTCCAAATTCAGTTTGCAGTGATTGAAGGCTGTAGGGATATTTGTAATAAAGTGGGATCATTAGCGCTGCCGCAAGGACACCTTAGGCTCAGTGGTGCCCGTCATTTTCCACGGTTGTTTTTCTAATTTAGCAGCCCATCGTGCTTTTGCTCTGATCTCACTGGGTGAAGCAGAGGGAACAGAGAGAGAGAAAGAGGTACCCTGAAATGAATGTACTTGCGCTGGAGGCAGCGAGGTCTGATGCAGACCTCAAAGCTCTGTAGCAACCTCTTGCAACCCTCCAGGCACAGCAGCTCCACAGCCCTGGCCTGCCCCTCCCTGGCAGCACGGGGCGAGAGTGGCAGGAGGGAAGCAGCATCTCCAGGAAAGCTTGAGAGCAATAGTACCAGGTACCAGCGCCTGCAGGGAGGCTCTTCCCAGGCCCCTACATCTCATTTGAGGAGCGATGTCTTCATGCCTCGTGTCATCATGCGTTCACTCTGCCTCACTGAATTTCCACCACCTTCCCCAGCAGCACCAAAATCCTGGCTTAAAGTAACCCTAACAAGTATGTAACCCAGGGACTGAAAAAGACTGTCAGGATGGGATTTCCCAGCTTTAATTTATGTGGTTCAGAAGAAAGCATTGGCTCTCTGGATCACTCCAGCCATTAGAAAATTAAAGCCACCTCCGAGTTTCCCCTTCAGAAGATTCCCTGTATCGACACATTCTGCAATTACCGTGCACGTGGCAGGCTTGCAGGTGGAGTCTGGGGGATGCAAGCAAGTCAAACCTTGCAATTATTTTAATTTTCTATTTTTCCTTTCTTCCCCCCCCTTAAATGTTTTTCCATTTTCAGCTTCACAGAATAACATGATGTAAACAGATCATTTTTTTTTTTTCCCCCTAAAGTGTCACATAGCAGCTGAAATATTTAAAAGTCCAGCTCACCAAGATAGGTCATTACTGCCATTGTGCTCAGGAGTGGCTATTTTGTAGGCTGTTGGCGGGCAGATGCTTCAAGGGTGGTGCATGTGTTATAGTTTCATCAAGACATTTCTTCTCACCAGCCATCCAAATGGATCCCGGCCTTTTTCATGTAATTGGCAATCACAGCAAGGGTCTGTAGACTCCATTCGAGCAGAAAGTAAAATCCAGGAGAGAAGAGAGCGAGCAAAAAAAAGAGATCAGAACGCTTATTACTCAATTAATGTTTGCATCCGAGTGCAGTTCTTTAAGGATGATGTTAATGTAATGTGAGGGTTGCATTTTTTATGAGCTCTCTAATGCGTGGCAAGTTAATGACACCATGTACAGTGATATTCTTGCAATCCAGGTAATGCGGCAGCTTGATCATCAGGTCTGTTGTATCTGTAGCAGCTTGAATTGCTCCTGCAGCTGGATGTTAAACTTGCTAAAATTTCCTATTCCTAAGGCCATCTTACAGTACACTGGAAGTGCATTTAGTTCAGGAACATTGCTTTCCAAAAGATTCATCTTCTCTATACATATTTTTATTTTCCTTTCACTTCCAAGGCAGGGAAGGGGAACCCTGGGCAGCCCCTGTGTTGGTCTAGAGACAGAGGTTCTCTGCAGATCCTTTGGACAGGATTCAGGTATGCAGGATGTAAAATATGATGGAAAACTTAAAGCCAAGTATGTGGAGGAAACATCTGTAATTAGGCCATTCTTCTTTCCTCTTCCATGGAAGTGGCTGCCTTTCTCCCTCCAGAAAGCACGTGTGTTATGCTGGTACCCTGGCTGTGTTGTGCCATTGCTGTCGGGTTTTCCTTGAGCCGTGGCCCACCAGAAATAACTTGTGAGGCTCACAGATAGACAAACCCCTTGACAATCAAACCACAGGGTTAAGAGGTGCTGCTACTCTAAAGGTGCCCTTGAATGTTCAGCGTACGAGCCAGGGCTGCTCTTCAATAGATGAACTGTACAAATACTGTAGGATAAGAGTATGTGTTGTCTTACCACCACTATTCCTAATGCCTTACGTTCAGAAAATGAGATGGTTTGAAATCAACAGAGAGTAGGAATGGAGTCCACGTCTGATGCAGACAATTTGACACCTCCAGGGTTAATCTGATGTTAAGCCCA